TTTCTTTCTTCCTTTTTTTTTTTTTAACTTTTTGTTTTTTAGGGACAGGATCTTGCTCTGTCACATAGGCTGGAGTGCAGTGGCACGATCATAGCTCACTGTAGCCTCACATTCCTAGGCTCAGGTGATCCTCCTGCCTCAGCCTCATGAGTATCTGGGGTTGTAGAGTTGCAACACCACACCTGGCTTTTTGGGGGAGGGGCAGGTAGAGATGGGTCTTGCTGTGTTGCCTAGGCTGATCATGAACTCCTGGCCTCAAATGATTCTCCTGCCTTGGCCTTCCAAAGTGCTGGGATTACAGGGCAGGAACCACTGCTTCTAGCTGACAAAGTTTTTTAGAAGATAAAGGATTATTAAAAGACTGAAACCAGCTCTATTTGCTTTTCTTATTGGTGGAATTGTGTTTTGTTCGGTTACAAATGAATTATTTTGATAAAAAATATACACGTTCAGTATTTAATTTAGAAAAAAATATAAAGTCATAGCCCAAGAAAAATTTTGAATTACATTCTTATTTGGGCTTTGGAAAAATGATACCTACTTAACTAGTGCCAATCTGTTGCTAGTCATAAAATCTGGCTAGCATGTAGTACATGTCATAAAAGATTGTCTAGTAAATAATGCGTTCATTGTCAGACTGTTTTTATTGGTGACATATTTAAGAAAGATAAAGCAATGTAATGTCCAGATATTATAAAATATTAGTGACTATAAACCAAAACTTTTGAAACTTTTAACAAGGAAACTATTTTATTAAAATTACTACTTTTTAAGTGAAACTATTGCTTTATTTAATCTTAAATCATTTTTAAAATATTGTTTTAAGAATATGAGTGCTGCATTTCTGCATTCTGGTGATAGTGGTTTTGTTTGGTTTTTATAGTATTCTACATTAAGAATTTCAGGAGTAGAAATGATATTTTTGGATTTCTTATACCTACAGACAGAAATAGTTGTTTATCTGAGAATACCAGATTTAGAATGAATTACCTTCATGCTTTACATTATTTAAAATATAAATATATGGTTGAGATCTGTATATAGCTATTCTACTCACATTGTGATAGCTCTTCTAGTTTTTGAAAACTGAAAGATATAATACATATACATTGAAAATAACAGTATTTCAGGTAATACTAAATACCATGCAATGAATTGTAAGCCTCCCTCTCACGTAAGAGCCTGTGTAGTCTCCTATTCAGAGGCAACAACTTCAGCAGTTTCACAGTAAAGTCTGGTAACTGAAACACATATTTCTTGTCAAAACAGCATCATTCTTAAAAATTTGTTCTGTTTGTCATTACAGTGTTCTTTTTGTAGTTTTTATGTTTAACTTTTTATTTAAATGCTTTTGGGGATAGTTAAATGTTCTTTTAGTAGAGTGGGATATTATTTGTAGCTATCGGATTGTGTCTTATCATAAAAACTATAGTATATATGCATTCTTATTATGAAAACATGGTATTATTAATGGTACTGCCAGACTTGGTGATTAAAACAGAGGTAGTTAAGTCTACAGTGTTGTAGATTGGTTCTTTTTTTTTTTTTTTTTTTTTTAGAGACAGAGTCTCACTTTGTTGCCCAGGCTAGAGTGAGTGCCTTGGTATCAGCCTAGCTCACAGCAACCTCAAACTCCTGGGCTCAAAGCGATCCTACTGCCTCAGCCTCCCGAGTAGCCGGGACTACAGGCATGCACCACCATGCCCGGCTAATTTTTTGTATATATATCTTAGTTAGCCAATTAATTTCTTTTTATTTATAGTATAGACGGGGTTTTGCTCTTGCTCAGGCTGGTTTTGAACTCCTGACCTTGAGCAATCCTCCCGCCTTGGCCTCCCAGAGAGCTAGGATTACAGGCGTGAGCCACCACGCCCAGCCTGTAGATTGGTTCTTGAATGGAGAATAAGGGTAGCCTCTTTGAATTACAGCAGTGCTTTCTTAATAGAAGGCAAACATCATGCCAGAGATAAAAATCCTTTCCAGATTTGGAGTTAGAAAATGAAACTCACGTGGACTTTTAAAATAATTATGGGGAACAGTTATTTTGTGAAAGGCATTACATACTAAACTCACACATCTCCCTATGCTATTGGCTATGTGTAAGAAATTCAAATCTTAACAGTATTCTGGTTATCAGCTTTTTAGAGAAATTTGGGCACACAGTTGGGCACCAGAGACAGTGTACTTAAAAAAAGACTACTGTCAAAGGAGGGGAAAACCAATATTAAAAATAGAAAACTTGGGGATTATTTTGAACCTGATGTTTAGGTGAGCAATTGCAATTAATTCCATCTCATATCTGGAAAAGGCCGTCTCTTAAATTCATATTCGTTTTCCCTTAAATAATTGATCTCCATACATATGGAGTATATACTTTTTATAATTAAAAAAAGGTAAAGGAGAGAATTATACAAGAATCTTGACTTAGGTTTGTTTAGTTTCCTTTTGTAAGATTTATTTTTCTTTTGTACTTTTCTACTGATACTTTTGTAAGATTAGTAAAATCTTTAAAGTTATCATCTCCTATTTAATAAAAAACATTGTTACTCCCCTTGCTGTATTATAGCTGGCAGGCCTTGTTAGAATGGGAGACACTCTTCATTCACTTGGAATAAGATTTTCCATTTCCCAAAGTAGTGAAATTTATAAATATTATTCCCTTTGCTTCTGCCACCTATATTATTTCTCTTTGCTTGAACTGTCTGGAGGTCTTGGAGGGAAGTTTCAGCTTTTTCTTGCAGTTGCAGCAGCTGAAGTGCTTCCCTTCTTACCCAGAGGGAGCGTGCATCTACGAGCTACTGAAATGGCAGATCATCTGCTTTGAGACCAGTCATTATATTATGGTTATGTGAACCCATTTGTGTCTCATTTCCCACCTAATTTAAAAATAAAATCATGATACTTTTTATGAACATATAAAGTATTATTAATAAGTTGTTATTTTCCTGGTTAAAAATGTTTAGTAATTGTATACATATATTTTGTTAGATTTGGATAGCTAAAAAATAAACAATTTAGTATTTTAATCTCAGATTGTAAACTAAAATGTGGAATTACATTGTCATAATTTGTTCATTTTTGCGCAACACAGTATACAATGTAGCCATTTATTAATAAATACATTTTATTATCGAACAGTTTATATACCAAAAATTACTTTTCAATTGAATAAATGTCATAATCAAAATAAAGAGAAATAAAACTAGAAAAGAATAAATGGGATATTTTTCTATTTTTATGAATTACAAAGAATTAATTGCCTTACTCAGATGATTTATTTCATATGCTATACTTCCCCCCCCTTCCCATTGTGGGAAATCTCAAAGATTTACAGAAGTAGAGAAGATACCCAGCTTTGTCAGCAATCAGTTCACAACCAGCCTTCTTTCATCTATACTCTGTCATCCCCAGACTATTTTGAAGCAAATCCGAGATGTCAGATCTAAGTTTCATTCATAAATATTTCAGTTTTTTTCTATGAAAGATAATCAAGCCTTCATTTTTTTTTTTTTTTCTTTTTTCTTTTTTCTTCTGAACACGGTGGTGGAGAATAAGCCTTCATTTTTAAACCACAATCAAAAGATCTGGTATTGAATCAGTATATTGTATTGAATAAAGAATACAGCATTAACTTTAGGCCAGAATAATTGCCGAGTAAGAAAATGAGCCTAGGTTATATTGATAACTCTTGGTATTCACTGGCTGATTTTTTCCTCTTCTTTTTAAAATTCAGGCTTTGAATTCCAGTAGCTCTTGTTTTTTTTTGGGGGGGGGGCTTTCTACTCTTCCCCTGTACCTCCACAAGAGGGCAGATAAGGAAGAAAGATGTGAAGTTTAAATGAATCTGACTTGAGTTTCACATTTGTTAATCTAAGGGAATTGTGGAACATTTTTGAGGTGACTTTTCAAAAACAAGCTTTTTAGCTTCTTTCCTTGAAACAACTCACAGTGAGACAAAATACGATCAGCTATTTTAAAGGGGGGTAAGCAATAATCTTTTTAAAAAATGGTTTCCAAAGCATTATCACAGCTTTTAATTTTCTCTGTGATTAATAATTTCTCTTTAAAAATAATGATTTGGGCTTTAATGAAAATATAGCATTTTAATTTCTATCTAATTTTTGTAAACTATGGTTTTGGACAGCTATTATGAAGATTTCTCATTTAGTGATGTGAATGTTGCCTAGTTGAGGTATTTTAGCTATGCATTTGATTAGCAATGAAAGAGACATAACTTTATCCCCAATTTTCTCATTTATTAAAAGCCTTAATTACTATGGCAGTGTCACTGAATGAATTATATTCATAAACACCTAAAAATATATGTTAGTTACTTTATGTCAAAAGCAGTATTCTATTTGAAGTATGTTTGACATTGAATGCCTGTACGCCATGTAAATTGCTATTTAATCTGTGGGAATTTTGAATAAGCATCCATGAAGTTTTTTGTTAATGGGTTTTTTTTTTTGTTGGACTTGGTATTTGGATACTGTGATCTGTGGTAGTTTTTGTTCTTTGATATGATTTATGTTTACTCTTCTTGGGGTTTTGCCCCCTGATTTTCCCAGTGAATATATTTCTTTTGGAAAAATGCTATTTTGTATTTGTGCTTTCAGCTGTTATAAGACATTGGGGGAATGATGAGATAAACTTGCCGAAATTGATTCTTCTTTTTGTATACATTTTGGCACGTCTTTTGCAATTAGTGTTTTTCCTTCTGTTGCCACCATTGAGATCTCTGATTACCAAAGTTTCTATATCCCTACAGCATGACACATAATTACAAAGAAACTGTTATCCTGCATTCCTATAGCATTGTTTTTTTTCAGCACTTAATGTCTTTTATTCCTTAGCTTCATGCATGAATTAGGTTACATATGTGAAGAGGCTTAAACTGTTACCATTACATTCTTTCTGGATGGCTCCTGTTATATTTAGGATATACTTATACTTTAGACAAAGTAAGAATGTTATTGTTATTGACCTTGACACCAGATAACTGGGCAGACATTATATAGCTATGTTTGAATCCTCACAAAATGTGCTATTGAAGCCAACAGAGTCCTGGCGGGAGACTCTTCTGGACAGCAGAGTTATGGAGCTTTTCTTCACAGTAAGTCTTCGTCTTCATCTCTAGTAGCCAGGGCCACAGAAAAGAGGAAATGCCTTTGTATCTTTTTAAAGTAAAACAGGAAAGGTTGCTTTTCTCCCCAAAGGCTTCTCTTCTGAAATATATATTTGCTTGAACAGAAATTATATAAGAATAAAATGCATCTCCTGATTAAAAAAAAAAAGAAATTCTATAAGAAGATTCTTGCTATTTTGTAAAAAGCATTATTTAGTTATGAAAGATTCAATATCTTAGAGCAGAAGTTCTCTAACTTCTTATTTCAGGACTCCTTTATACTCTTAAAAATTATTAAGAACTCTTACTCGAAGAGGGAAGGGGGCATGGGCAATATATGTAACCTTAACACTTGTACCCCCATAATACGCTTAAAAAAATTATTGAGGACCTCAAAGAACTTTTGTTTATGTGGATTATAGCTATAATATTTATCCTATTAAAAATTCAAAATGAGAACCCTAAAAATAATTTATTCATTAAAATAACAATAATTTATTTTCATTAAAAATAACAATAAGAAACCATTGTATATTAACATAAATAGCATTTTAGTGAACAACTAACTATGTTTTTGAAAACAAAGTTTTCGAAAACTTTGTTTCAAAAACAACTAACTATATTTTTGAAAACAAGTTTTGTGAGAAGAGTGGCATCGTTTTACGTTTCTGCAAATCTCTGTAATGTCGGGCTTACTAGAAGACGGCCAGATACTGTTACCTGCTGCTCGCTACCTTTCATTGGTTGCAGTATTGCACATCATGTGGCCTCAGGGAAACTCCACTGTATACATGTATGACAGTGAGAATGGAAAACGCAGATACTATCTCAGTATTACTATGAAAATGGTTTTGCCCTCACACACATCCTTACAGGGTCTTAGGAAGCTCTAGGAGGTCCCTGGACCACATTTTGAGAACTGCTATTCTAGAGCAGTATGTTTATTATGTACTGATTATATTTACCAGTCATGGGTTAAGTTAGTATTATTGAATAGAAATTGATTTCAAGTATAACTTTAAGCAGTCCTTTTTATTACTGGCTAAATGTCAGGAGGTAAGCAGTATGTTCTCCCATTTGCCAATGAATTTCACCAATGGAATAGTTAAAACCTGGGGGAAAGAGTGTGTGTGTGTGTGTGTGTGTGTGTGTGTGTGTGTGTGTGTGTGTGTGTTGGATGCTAATTTGCATTTATAGGGTGAATATACAAGTTAGTTATATATAGTGAATTGGACAAAAGCCCAAATGAAGACCAATTAAAAAGAAAAAGATTATTTTGCTTAATCCCAATCATTAATTATAGTTTCTTTTCATGTTTTAAAAATATTATGTGTGAGCCTTACAAATGCCTTTTTTTTTTTTTTATTTCAACACAGGTGTGGTTGATACAAATGCCTTTTTTGATGGACCCATTAAAGTATTGTAGTTATGTGGTTAAATATTTAAAAGTACCTAGAATGAGGCTACCCATCCACAGGTGTCCATAAAAGATATCTTCTATAGAAATGTGTCAGACTGAGCATTAATCACCTTGCATTTTCTTTTTAAAATCAGAGAAATGACTAAAAACACTATCAAGATGAAAGAGACAATTGTAACTAAATTTTAAAATTCTGTTGACTGCCTCGTGTGATAGGAATTGTTTTGATAGGAATCCAAGTTCAAGTCTTTGTATTATGCACTTGACTGAAAGTAGATCCTGCTCCAGCAGTTTTTGAAAAGGTGAAAAACTTGTTGGCAGTGCTGGAAACAACTCCACCAGATCTGAACAGCTGTCTAGACAAACCAGACAGCTGCTTCTGTCAGCTGTGAACTACCACATGCAAATAACCTCTGAATTTGCAAGTTAACCCTTTTTACTTTATTTTAACAGTTTTATATTTGTGGCTAGTTATTTTCATTTAAGCAGTTTATAAACAATTTTATAAATTTATTTGTTACAAGATTTATAATGGCTAATCTTTTAATTTAATTTTTGTCAACTTTATTTTCTCATGTGAATTCATTGCCTAATTTAAAGATTTTTTCCACTGGATATCACTATTTTGCTAGATTTGAATAGATACATATAAACATACTGTTGCCTCAGATCAAGACTTTAAATATGTTGATCATAAGACTATAAGTATGTTGGAAGGCTTTTGGTTGTATTGTACCCTTCAGAAGTTTACAGACTTCTCTATTTTTCCATAAGGGTTTTAAAAAACCACTCTTATTAGGTTTTCCTACTACCTTTTTGACAGATTCTTCTTGATCTCACTTATGGTCCCTTCTTTCTTTGCTCATCGCATAAATATTGGCATTCCTGTCTTAATTCTCAACTTTGCTGACTGTGTACACTTTCCTGGGGCTATCTCTTCCACACGTAGGACTTCAGGCACCAGTTCACCAATGACTCCTAAATCTATATTCAGCACAGGCTGCTCAAAAGTTCCAGAGCCTTATAATCCAAGTGCTTACTGAATGTTTTAATTTGGATAGCCCACAGACATCTCACATTTAACATGTTCCAGTAGAATTTGTCATCTTACTAACTTGCTTCTCCTTTTTATTCCTTGTCTTGATGAATATCCTCACCATTCACCTCAGTGGGCGTCCTGCTAGACTTTACTTCCTCCTATTCCTCTGCCTCTTTTCCCGTATTCAGGTGGTGAATTCAGTTTTTTATTGTATAATACAGTTTATATTGAAATACATGTTCAGATATGATGGAACTCTTGTTAATGCTGACATTGGAAGAAGGGCAAGAATCTATATTCTGTAAGAATGATGAGTTTTATGTTCATATTTCATGGAACACAAATTAAACTTGAATAATATAGGCAGTTGCTAAGGACAGTTATTTATTTTTATTTTATTACAGTGTCAACATTAGATATTTCATTGAGGGTATTCTTTCATTTGATTCTTTACTTCTAGACCAGGAACAAGCAACCATCTGGCTCTCTGAGTAGATAAGACTGTGAGATGGGTTTCTGTTGTTCCAGATTACATTGCATCTGTTGATAGAATGTATCCCTGGATGTCATCATGCTTAAATGTTGATTAAGTTCCAAGGCATGATGATAAAAATTTAGTTAAGGATTTCAGATAAAGAATTTATGAGTTGAGTTCAAAAGTTCATGAACTAGATAATGTGCATATATAGATTTGTCAATTGTACTTTGAATTTACTATATAAAACTTAAAATACATTGGAATATAGTTTGAAAAACATTTGTATTCTAGGTCTGTGTAGGGCTGGATAATAAATAATTTAGGCTTTGCAGGTCACAGGGTTATATTCAACTCTGCCCTTGTAGTGCAGAACAACCATACATGATGACATAAAAACAAACAAGCATGGTGGTGTTCCATTAAAATTTTACTGATAGTTGTTAAAATGTGAATTTTGTAGAATTGTCACAGGTCACAAAATGTTATTCTTTTGATTTCTGCCCAAATGAAAATATTTAGCTTGTAGCCATATAAAAATAGGCAGGAGGCCAGATTTGGCTTATGGGCTGTTGTTTTGCCAATGCCTGTACTACTCCAAAGAGTGTAACGTATTTTAAGCATATCAGTAGATACATTAACTTTGTAGTTTTTAGAGTCTTTTAGTATTTTAAATTTCATTACTAGAACCTTAAGAAATTTAAGGATTAAGTATTAATGGAGTCTTTCAGTGAACAAGGATTTACTGGGTGGTCATTTCGCCCCAGCATACCAGTGAGTACTTGAAAGAAATGTTCTAACCTCAAGCCATTGATAAATGATCTGCAGAGTCAAAGTGGACATAATCTGAAACAAATAGTGAATAAATGGTCGGTATTACATAACATTTGCAAAGTAGATAACTTTGTGTAGGAAAGAAAAGGGCTGGGGTAGTTAGGTAAGTGCTTATGGAAAGTAGGAAAGGGTTACAGTAAATGTTGGGTAGATTTAGATTAATAATTATACTTCACGAAATTTTTCTTGGTTATTTTAATTATGTCAGATCACACAAATGAAACCTTTAACATCTGAGAATGTTAATACTGTGCAATTAGGGAGCAATATTTTGAGAGCACTTCCATCCTATAGAGCACTGGGCACCAGGTGTTTCACAAGCATATTACATCATTGAAATAAAATCTAGGTGAGCTTTTACATGGATTTAAGTATAATTTATATAAAGTTTTTATTTAAAAAGTTTTTAGCATTTATTAATGGCAATGATGTAGGGTAAAATGAGGTTCAAACAAATTGTAGACAATCTGAGAATTAATGAAAGTGTGCTTATGTGTTGGTTGAATGAATGAGTGATTGTCTAAGGATTTAGCAATATATTGGTTTTCTAAGTGTGCAACTGTTTACTTCACTAAAGCAGCATCTATATACTCTTGATTGAACTTGTCTGCTAACTTTAGCAAGAAGCTGTAGCTAGGCATAGTTAGCATAATACAGATGACTGTCGTTGCTGTTTTTAGAAGAAGCAGTATGTCTGACTGGCTGGCATCTGTTTCTCTCTTTGTCATAACATGCTGGAGACAGTTCAATTTTCAAAATGTAGGTAGCCCTCAATTGAGAATTAATTGATATGTTTAAAATCACAGCCTATGATATAAAGCAGACCGAGGGACAATTTAGTTTAATTCAAATTTAGTTTAATTCAGGAATTAATTTTCTAGAAATAACCAGCTACAGTGAATTTTTCTCTTGCCTCATTTGGCATGGTAGACACGTGACCCTTAAAAAAGAAGAATTCATTTTTATGGATTAGTAATTCTTTCTAACAGGTACATCGAAAAATCAGAGAAGATTCAGATATGGCACAAGATTCTCTGCAGTGCCTTGCCCAGTTAGCTTCTCTCCACGGACCCATCTTCCCTGATGAAGGATCACAAATTGATTATCTAGCACACTTCATTGAGGGATTACTGAATACTATCAATGGGTAGGTATACTTGCCCTTTCTAACTGAAAAATGAACTCTTCATTTTTTCTTTGTGTTTAACAATAGAGGAAAAAAAGAAACAAGTGATTTATTTTTTTCCCTTTCTTATAGTTTGAAGTAAAGTATGGGTAGTTTGAAATTAATGCACAGAGACATATCATTTAAAATGAGTAAGAATATTTGCATGTTTGGAAATGAGTTATTGTAACTTCTATCACTTAAAAATACTCATTATTTGGTTTGTAGAATTGAAATAGAAGATTCTGAAGCTGTGGGAATCTCCAGCATTATAAGCAACTTGATAACTGTGTTCCCTCGAAATGTTTTAACTGCCATTCCAAATGAACTTTTCTCCTCCTTTGTTAACTGCCTCACACACCTCACTTGTTCTTTTGGGCGAAGTGCTGCGTTGGAAGAAGTGGTGAGTGACTATTCTAAAATGAATTTGTGTTGTTCACAGGGAAATTTGCTGTGCTGTTGGAGCCTTTCTCATGACAAGTAATTATTTAATTGAGTGCTAGCTATTGTTAAAATTACGTTTTTGTTTACATGTGCAAATTATTTGGCAACATGTGTTGGATAACATGACCTTTAAATATGTGTTGATTAAAATTACTGTAGTGGGTGATATTTATTGCTTTTAAGATTTTAATTTTGAGAGAATTTAGTACCTGAATGTAGAAAATGGAATGAAATGCTTATGTGTTAAAAATTACGTGACTCTTAAATGCAGCTGATAAAAAATTTTTAAAAATTACGTTGAAAGCCTGTTTTAATAATGAAAACTTTGATTAATTAAGTTTAGTGGGTGCTGCTGTGGTATGGTGGTAATTATGTGTAATTTTTTTTTGAGAATTTTTAATTTGGACTTATTTGGAAATTAAGCATAATTTGGTTCAAATCACTGTAACATGCATATTTTGATTATAGTGTGCTCTTTATTTGGTGGTATGGTTTAATAATATATCTTGATAGAATTTAATTTACATTAAAATTAAGGCCAATACCAATACTAAAGGTGTTTTTTGGTACAAATTTGATACCATATTTGGTACCATACAAATTTGGTACCAATTTGGTACAATACAAATTTGTACCATATTTGGTACAAATTTTATACTTAAATTTAGAAAACATGTGCTAAAGCCCCTTGACAGCAAAGCTGCTTTTGTAACAATTACTGTGAACACCTACATTAATCATAGAAAATTCCTGATTTTTTCCTACAAAATAGTTATCAAATTGTTGAAACTAATTTTTCTTTTTATGAATCAAAAATGTGGAACTTTTTCAAAGATTTTAGAGTCAAAATATTTGTAGATACCAGTTACAATTTCATGTTAAATCCTAAGTTGTGTGATGGGGGTCTGGCGACACGTATATGCCTTTTTTATATCCCTTCAGATGTGTTCTGAGAGTAAAGAACTCAGGAATGATTGTGTATGTCATTGAGCATGTCAGCGACTTGATGAGGAAAGGAACTGGGTCAGGGAAGTATTTACATGGTAGAAGAAATGTAGGTAAAGGAATAGAAGTTTAAAGTTATCATATGTCAGGTTTGAATGATTTTTCAGGGAGATAATTTATATTCTAAACATAAAAATCCAGGGAAATTTTAAGTAGTTAAACTTTACTCAGAGCCCTGTCAGATGATCACAGATTCTGAACTAGTCAGCTTTCATTTGACATGGTTCTTTGTAGTTTCCCTTTCTCCCTTGGTTTATTTTCTATCTACACTAAGTGGATTAAAGAGCATGTGGGTCGCATATTTAGGAACTCAGCTGCCTTTTAGTTTCTGTTTGTAAGTTAAAGAGTGTTCCTAGACATTTTAAAGAAGAATTGCTAGAAGATGTATGACATTCTTGCTTTGCAAATTTTAAGTTCAGAATTCATTTATTTTGATTAGGACATTGACAGCTTGGGAAATGACAGTTTTTCTGTCAGGGGTTGACAAAGGAGTATTGGAATATGGGAAGCTTAGACACATTTTCAGAGGAGTAGATGCATATTGTGTTTGTTTCACAAGAAGGCATGCTCTAGTTATGATATACCTAATAGGTTTCATTTAAGAAAAGTGTTATTTCTTTTAATCAATTTTTTAAATTGATCTGTTTATGATATTTAAAGATTCTTTTTAAAAATAATTGGTCACCTATTGAAAAGGACAGAGGGAAAAGATTTGTCTAAAGTTTTGCATTAATCATAGAAGCTAGGTCATGGAGTTTGATGAAGTTGAGGGCTGCAGGGGGGTGCTGCATGGTGACTTCCCTCAAGACTAAACAAATCCTCCCAAATGTCATCTCAGCCTCAAGCAGCTTTCATTGCATCTCGTGTGTGCTGGGGGAGGGGGCCTAGGGAGTGTGCAGCTGATACTGGAAGTACGGGAGCAAGTCTAGCCTGACTGGATTAGACCTTCTGGGACAGAGAACCGTCATCTTTTGTAATACTAGTACATAGCATGTAGTTGTCCAAGATGGAAAGATACGTAAAGACATGTCTCTTAAGCAAAATTCATCGAGGCATATAAAAAACAGCTTTGGGATTGAGCATGGTGTGGAAAGATCAAACTTTGGAGGGAGACGGTACAGTCATGGGCCGGGCAGTAAGAAAGCGCAGGAGCTTGGCCAGGCCACTGCACTTTTCCTGAGCATGCTTCCTCACTGCTAAAGTCAGGATGATAATTCCTTCTGCTCCTTTATGGCATGGAAAGTTCCTACATGAAAGGTCCTATACAGTGTGTACATTAAAATGTAGAATATTAATTTTTAAAATGAACCCTTATAATGGCATTTATTGAATGCCTGTGTTATATGTACTGTCTTACACTACTTGTTGAGTTTTGTTGTTTTATGCAAATGAATTGTAATTTTTAAAAATTTTTATAGTTTTAGTTTTGTGAAATATTTTCTGTTTTCCTTTAGTATTGAAAGTTTCTTTTCCCAGTAGGAAAACAGGTTCCACATATGAACTTTGTTTTATTTTGATAATACTTTTTTCAGAACTATGTTTGTTTAAGATTACATACAGCTTATCTTTTTAAAAATAGCAATTCATGTCTTTGCTGGTGATTATGTTGCTATAGCAAGAATAAAAAAGAGCATCTTGGGAAGAAACCTTCTTGGTAGTAATGGTGATTTTGAAGTATGTCCTTGCCTAGTGGCTTTAACTTGTGAGTGAAGAGACTATTTATGAACCCCCTGACTTGTAGTTACTTGAGTCTGTGTTCACAGAGAGCAATGCTAGCCTTTAGCCAAGTTGTTCTGTGGCTGTTAAAGTTTCTTGATATTTTTTGAAGCTTCCCAAAGCCAAGAATTTTTCATTATACCCCAGAAATCAAATTATTATCTGTTGCTGTACTGAAGAGGTGAGAGTGATTGTAGAGATAAAACAATATTGCCTTAAAGATAAAAATCCTAACAATAACTTCATATTAATGTATCAACTATTTTATAAAATATTTGTACTACTAGAACATGCATTTGAATTGGTTCAGAGAAATTTGAGGAGAATGTGCTCTGAACTCTGTATTCTACTTTCTTCCTTGGTTTCTTTAGTCAGTGGAAAATTTGAGTTCTGCCCATGAGTAGGATCATCAGAGTGAAGCCATGCCAACATGTTGAGTTACCTGAACAGAGAAGCCGTCATGGCAGTGAATTGTTTTGTATGTGCATTGTGTGTGTGTGTGTGTGTGTGTGTGTAGTGGTAGATTGTTTATAAAGGAATAACTTTACATTTAATTTTAGTTAATTGTAGCCCCATCTCAAGACCAGCAAGACAAGGTGGTAAAGAAAAAGGCACTTGATACAACTGTTAGGAAATTCATTATGGAGTGCAATGCAGTGTAATAATTTTGCAATTTGTGGAGTGAGTGAGTGAGTGAGTGCATTTAAAGTGCATTCCTGGCTTGTTGGGTAATTACTTTGTAGAGAGGAGATGTGGTGAAAGGAATACATTGAAGCCAAATTACAGATTGAGAAATGGGAGCAGAAATTTTGGGGTATCAGTAAGGAGAGGGAAAATAGTACTCTCTGGAATGGTGGTATTAGTACAATTACAGTGTAACTGAGGAGCCCATCTCGTGCCTTCACTCATGAAAGGATGAGTTGTTTGAAAATCCCTGTCAGCCTCCTCCCCACAAGGTTCTGACAGCTAGAAAATAATAGATTGATGATGATACCAGAGAGAGCAAGACGGCTGTCAGTCCCCTGCCTACCCACCATGCTTGTTTGTTAATGTCCTCGGTTTATAAGAGTGAAGAAAAACATGAAGTGAAATGCATGAGTATTTTTTAAACCATGCACGTTAAAAGTATGCTTCTTTTTAATAATAACAATAGCTTTAGCTAATACTAAGATAGTTTGAAAAAAACTCGTTATTACACCTTAAATACAGATTCTTCCTAAAAGAAGTATTTTCAGTTAGTTCAGTGTTTTAATTCTAGTTGGATCATAATTTTACCACACCTTGTTTTATAACTTGTATATCAGTCATCTCTGATTGTTTAAATCTGTTACACCAATCCTAGTGTAGAACCAGTGTTTCACAGAATTCTAAGACTTGCAATATAGAGGATTTAGAATAAAGCTTACTTACTGTCATTACTATTACTCTATGTAGTATCCCTTATATTGTTTATAATGCTAGCATTAGAAGCATAACCAGATCCAGTGGGTCTGGGGTTTAAAAATGAGTGCTAGAGTGAGATAGAAAAAAAGGATTGTTCTTCTATCCCATGTAATTTGGGTGAGTCTCTGAGACAATCCCAATATTCAATTATGTAAGTGTGTATTGAGCACCTTCCACATACTATGGAGTCTAATACATATGTATTCCTTTGCATTAAGAATTTAGAAATTCAGGTTGGGCACAGTGGCTCACACCTGTAATCCCAGCAGTTTGGGAGGCCGAGGAGGAGGATTGTTTGATACCAGGAGTTTGAGACTAGCCTGGGCAGCAAAGCAAGACCCCATCTCTACAAAAAGTAAAAAAAAAAAAATTAGCTGAGTGTGGTGGCGCATATCTGTAGTCCCAGCTATATAGGAGGCTGAGGAGGAAGGATCCCTTGAGCCCAGGAGTTTGAAGTTACAGTGAGCTATGATCACACCACAGCACTCTAGCCTGGGTCACAGAAGCAAAACCTTGTCACTTAAAAAGAAAAAAAGAATTTGGAAACTGGAAGAAAGTATGTTAATTCAGGAGTGCAACAATTGAAAATCTTTATGTAAACTACAACTTGGATTCTTGGTGTTTTTGTGGAGGTAGCTTGCTTGCTTGCTTGCTTGCTTGCTTGCTTGCTTGCTTGCTTGCTTTCTTTCTTTCTTTCTTTCTTTCTTTCTTTCTTTCTTTCTTTCTTTCTTTCTTTCTTTCTTTCTTTCTTTTTTTAAGTGATCTATCTATAGGATTCTTCTAACAGCTGCAATA